TTCTATTTGTTTTGCTACTCACTTGCTGCACAGTAAATTTGTGATTTGTGTACTAGGACACCCAGAACCTACTGAACCACCGAGGTTTTTCAATCTCATGCAATTTAAACAAAATATAGTGCAGCTTTGGAATGATTGCAGTGTGTAAATTGGCTGCTGTGTTCCCTACATTACAGCAGCAATTAAACTTCAAAAGTATTCATTGGCTGTAATAAACTTTGGAAGCCCTGAGGTCATGAAGTGTGTTATATAAATGTTCTTTTTCACCCCTTTCTTAATCATTGGGTGTCTCAAAAATCCTTACTAATTCAGGGATTTTGCAGTATGGTCACTGTTGTCGGAAATGTAGAATAAAAATATGACAAGACACCACTGTGGACTCCCTGGCTTTCTTTCTAAACACTGCCTTTGGTTCTTTTATGTCCACCTGCCAGGGCAGAGGGAACCTTACTTAATGTCTTATCCAAATAAAAACATTCCTTCAGTCCTGCAGTGTACTGTCAGCTCTATTTTGATGCTTGGGACCTCAAATATGACATCAAGAACAGGATTACCTTCTTGACCTTCAAAACTCTAACCTGGTCAATTGGAAGCAAAAAAAGCCTGTGCTGTGGGATAACAGTCTGAGCTTTATCCTCCAAACTTAAACAACTAGTCGGCAGAGAATGGGCTTACCATCCAATTTCGGACGTTACATCAGCTCTCTGAAGGTTGAAGGGGGTGAAAGGGAGGTCTTGAAGGGTAATGGTAGTGTACTTATCTCTGAGCCTTTCAAGCCCCTCCTGCACCAGAGGTGTGTAATAACACTGATTAGAAAATATCAAAAAGGGAAAGAGAGATTTTGATGCAAAGGAAACAGCAGGATGCTTACAGTTAAGTGAGGGTGGTGATTGCCAAGATGGAGGTGCCTTCCACAGGGCAGCCAATGCTGCACCTTGAAGCTAAGCAGACAGCAATGCCTACTCTTCTATACTACTTTGGGCAGGCAGAAAATGATCCTTAATTGTCCGCTGAAGGGCTTCAACTGGGCCAAGAAATCACCAGCCCAACTCAGTTGTGACTGTCTCAGTATATGATGTGGTTTCTTGGCATGCCAACTCAGGTGAGTATCTCAGTATTTTGTCCTTCTGTCTGATCTTCATGAGCTTCCAAAGACATTCCCATTGAATCTGATTGAGCTACATGGAGTTAAGGTGTACAAAGCCCAAGGCACTCCAATGCAGTGCAGAGTGGGCGGAATGATTCCACAGAGTAATCAATCATTATATAAGTAGAACAGTCTCTCCTCGTTGGCTAGTTTATGTTGTCATCACACTTACTCATGTAACATTACAACTGTGACCACACTTCAAATCTAGTGTATGGACTGAAAAGAGCTTTTAAATATCTGGCCATCTTGAAAGTACTATGTACACACACACACCTGCTTGTTTTCAAAGATTTGAAATTTGTGCAGTGACTTGTCTAATAAAAGTTGGCCCAGATTTTCTGATTGGAAATATTCATTGTAGCAACCTATCCTGAGAGATGAGCCATGAGACACACCGAAGATCTCTTGTACTGACCATTGGGAATTGCTTGGGAAATGTCAATTTCCAATAGACAATGACCTTGCATGTTGAACCTTCAGATATTTTCTGAAGTGTTTCAGTTCACTCACATGGATAGTTAATCAGGAAAATGGAGATGATAAAATCTGCTTAAAGATAACTATAAAACTGGGTAATCATAAAACTGATAGCCTTATCTTGTTTTTTTTTGAAACACCCTACCCCTACTCCCCTCACCCAGTTATCTGCCACCTAAACCCTTTCCCCATCTACAATTCTTACCCCCACACACATCTTCACAGACTACCACATGCATCCCCTT